ATTTAATTACACTCTTAGAAATGTGCTAAACTCATTCAGGTGTTGATTTCTCCGTGTTAAAATTATACCTGCATAAATAGTTGTAAAAATTTGCAACCGATCTGACAAAAAGGAAATTAATCGTAGAGTGATGCAAGATTACTTCAAGATTACCATTGATTTTTAATAGTGTACTATTCTTCAAAAATACGAATAAATTGGACACATACATATGTACATATCTAGAATTTATTTAGTGAACCAAATGACATACAAATCAAATGTCATACATACATAATAATTTTTCCAAAGATTTCCGACGCTATTTTACATCTTGGAGTTGGCCTCCTTCTTACCTCAGTATTGGGGCAGATGGAAGGAAATAATTCGATTTTGCTGAAAAATGCTACCTCAACTTTGAGTCCTGGAATGATTTCGTATCTGGACGGAAGCAGAAATTTGGTAGCAATTCGAAATTCAAATATGTACTTTTGAGTATTTGAATAAGGGAATACGACTTGAATTTGTTTTACTAATTTCAGACGGAACGACAAAAAGAGCGTCGCGCACGACAGATGAATTATTGTGTCAATTTGCTAAACTATGCGGGCACGTATTACCCACAGTCTCAAATTTTCCCCGGCCCGTCGCCAAACTACGGCCCGAACTATTACCCGGATCAATATCAAGGATACCCGTACCCGGTATGCGACTACATACACTGTAAATAAAGTTGAGTAAAATTGCCACCAAAGCAACTATTGAGTAAAATTTACTCAAAGTTGAGCAAAAATCTTTCAACCTTGAGTAAATTTTACCTCTGTTAGCGTAAATTTTACTCAATAGTTGCTTTGGTGGCAATTTTACTCAAAATTGGGTAAATTTTAATCAAATTTATTTAGAGTGTACATATGTAGTATTCACATTGTATTTACATATGTTTGCATACTTCATGTTTGGTATTACTTATCAGTACCACTATGGTAGTGTGATGTACATACTTGAATCAATACCGCAATAACAGAGACGCTGAGCGAGTGTTCATGAAAAAAATATTGTAGCCTAGAAACGTAATCACAGTCTATGATTGTGCCATCTTGGCTGGACAAAAACATTTTATGAAATAGTCGAAATTATGATTCATTTCTGGCGCAGATATGAAACTCTTGTATGCGTTCAGTACAATGCCGGTTTAAGACTGAGGAGGACAACCCTTCACCGACAGAATCACCGATCTTGATGCCCTTTGGATATGTTGTAGTCCTAGGTGAGTCTAGCAAAAGTGAAGAAGGATTTCATTCAATGGCCCCATTTGCGCCCGCCACACCCACTCAAAGGTGCGAAAATACCCTGTTTTGGTTCATTAAAAAAATCACCAAAAATCCAATTTTGGTCGGATTTTCACAATTTAAGCATTTTTGTGACCCTAGATAGTTGCTTTATCATATCCAATAGCAAACTCAACTTTTTTTAAATTTTGATTTTTTCGAAATCTACGAAATTTTCGAAAATATTCAAAAAATTCAAAAAATTGAAATTCATGTCGGATACGATAAAACAACTATCTGGGATCAAAAAGGTGCAAAAATTATCAAATTATCATTAAAAATGGATTTTTGGTGAATTTTTTAATGCGACCAGTTTGGCATAAGATTCCTCTTTGAGTGGGTGTGGCGGGCGCAAATGGGGCCATGGAATGAAATCCTCCTTCACTTTTACTAGACTCACCTAGGACTACAACATATCCAAAGGGCATCAAGATCGGTGATTCTGTCGGTGAAGGGTTGTCCTCCTGAGATTTGTAATTCTGCATTTGATCAAAATTCAGACTAATATTTGATTTTCCCGCTGTGTTTACAATCACGAAACAAAATCATGTAATCCTATGCTCATCCTCTCTACATGTTATATTAATGCCGGATTGATACGATTGTACATATGTACACAATCCTATCTATCCAGAATTAAAACAATGCCAAGCGGTATTCAAACATACACTCTTAGCAAAACGGTATTGAATCATCACATATATGTACACTCTTAGAAAATTGGTATTGAAGCATTACCGACCGGAGTACATGTGTGACTCTACACTCTTAGCAAAACGGGGAGCCCACGACTTAGGATTAACCAAATTGTGATAAACCTTCCCCACAATGTGTAAACGTAACACTGGATAGTGAGGATTTAACACATTGTGGGGAAGATTTATCACAATGTGGGGTAAATATTATCACAATTTGGTTAAGTCATGTGGGCTCCCCGTTTGGTGATGATTCTATACCGTTTTGATAATATATATATTATAACGTGTTGTCATAGCTCGTTACCAGATTTCTAACACTCTATTTCCCCTAATTTAAGCAATACGGTCCACCCGCCGAGATGAAGAAGTGCTCCGATCTGGCCACACCACCCACTGCCGCGTTTACTCAAGACGAGTGCATCCGCCCTGAGAAGCACACGGGTCCTTACGTCTGCAACCTTTGGAAACAAGGTTCCACCTACACGGGAATTAATCCCGATCAGAAAGGCTACCCAAGAGGTTTCGTGGGCTATTGCTGTTGTCTTCGTGGTCCTGGGGTAACTTGTGCTAGGGCCCCGCTTTCAGGATGATCTTGCAAAAAAATAGTTTACTCAAATTATTAAGCCGAATTAAAAATGAATGTGCAAAAAATATTAAGTGCAATGCAATAAAGAAGGATACAGTAACGCTATGTACATAACTTTTGTGGAAATTATGGAATCCAGTATTAATTATTACATACGACAGAAATGCGATAAAAACTACGTATGCAAATATGTACATATGTATACAAGTAATCAAGGAATTGCGAATTTTGCGGATTTTTTTTGATACATTTTTTGCATACACATACACATACTCTGCGATACAACTTATACTATGAAATAAAAATTACTCAGTACTCAAGGTATTGTGATAGTCCGATTCATCTTGTATAATATTTATAAGTAGGGGTTCCAGTCCCGGGATTTTTCGGGATTTTATTCCCGGGATTTGAAGAACTGAAATCCCGGGATTTCGGGATTTTCAATTCGTCATTCAGAGCTGAAAATTACTTATAATTTACAATTTTAATAGCAATTTTACATTATTTTCGGTTATATGAAGATTGGTAAGAAAAGTTTCGATGACGTAACCATACAAATTGATCCTGGACTCGAAAATCGAAATGTTTAACAATATGGTTAGCCACATTTTTCTAACCCGTATACATATGTACATATATTTATACATATCTAAATTATATAATTCAAAATGAAATTTATAGTTCAAGATCGAGCTTCAAATTCCCAATTTCGATGTTAGATTTTAACTTGAACTAAGCAAGATTATAATCATAAAATCTGAAATCAGTTATGCTCAAAAATGCTATTATGTTAGAAGTGAGTTCGAATTTTAGCCGATGAATTTAAAGCTAAATTTAATGCGTTTTGCACGAAGTGGTTCATATATTTGATCTTGAAATTTTTGAATTGCTAAACTTCATATCCAACCGAAGTTTTTGAATAATGGTTCGCAATTTAGGCCAAATAATATAAGTACGTCAATTTGGGCATTTCGGGTTAACATTCTTGGTTAATTATTTAAGATTTCTGGAATAAAATTGTCAAACTTTTGCATATCACATATCACCTCTCAAAGATAGAGGGCGAAAATTGGGCTACGCCGAAATACACCGAGATTTAACATTTTCAATAGCAGGCAAAACCATATAATCGCTAATTTGTATTGCTACCATATTTATTTTGAGTTGACCAGAAAATAGCATACTTTATAATAATATTCATGCATGCACAGAGCCCGAAAACACATAAAGAGATATGTAAGTATTATAAATACGCTCAGGCGCTGTACTTTTATAGTCATGTACCTTTTTGTATACCCAAATTTGACTAATTTGAAGTTATAAGGTGATATTTGAATTTCGGGAAAAAATCCCGGGATTTCTCACGGCCAAAACCGGGAATCCCGATTCCCGGGATTTCCAAAATCGTCCGGGATTGGGACCCCTATTTATAAGTTTGGTGATGACAATTAAGGTTCTGAAATTGTTCAGAAATCATTCAACGAATGCGCTGGAGAAAAACGGAGGTTTTTTCCAGATGTGCATATGTATGTAAAAAAACTCCGTATCTACATATAATTACCTGCTAATGGACATATTTAAATATGTATGTATTTACGTATATACAGTGGAATTATTTGTGCTAGTCGTCCCATTGGCATATTCACGTATGCTGACGTAATTGCAAGAATCATTAAGTTGTACAACATGTACATATGTAAACATAACGTCGAAAACTCGCATTGCGAGATTTACGCAAAATAATTCCACTCCGCATATATGTATTTCCGAGGTACTCAAGTCATGCGTATCGCATTTTTACATAATCAAGTCGGCAACATTAGACACGAACTTGTGTATACATACATAAGTAAGTACGATTTACATACGTATTGTGCATAGTGATCTTGACCACAACTTGAATTGTATCAAGACAAAAATTTATACCTAAGCATATTTTTACGCGTGTTACAGTCATAAATTTTACAGTATCGCGTATCGCGTAATAAAAAATGGGACTACTTTTTCACAATTTTTTTACTCGGTTTTACCGAATCCTTGAATCTAACCAAACTATGCGACACGTATTCTTCTACATATATGTAAATATATGTCAATCTGGGCTGAATAACGGAGCGCTCGTACATACATATTTACTACTTAAACCGACTTCCTTCCTCGTATGCACTACACTAACCCTAATTCATCTCGGTTAGATTAAGGGTCAAACATGTACTGCAATTTGTCTAATTTTATCGAGTTGTTGGTTAGCAATTAAATATTAGAATAGTGCATAAGAGGGTGACCAAATGCTTGAATTATCCGATTTTTACATGCACATATGTAAAATTACGTTTCTTCGTCTAATCCTGGTAAAGATGTGATGACGCATTTAATTATGTGTACGTGGCAAGATTCTGCCCCACCCATGTACAGAATTCTGTGACTCACTCGCTACAACATGGTTATTTCCTTAGTTTGCGAAAAAATTCGACAAAAAATTGCAAGAAAATTGCCAGAAAATTGCAAGAAATTATAAAAAAACACGAATTGGCAGAAGACACCAATGAGCGGATAAATATATAGAAATCTATCTCATATGAATCAAAGGTAAATATTTGGAAATATTGTTTCAAAATTGAGAAATATATTTTAATTTTTGTATCAGTTTTTTCACAAATTTAAGTTTCGATTACTTAATTTGCAAAATAGATTACTGGATTTTTTTTCATAAAATTTAAGAAGATGTATACACATAAATTATATGAAATGTATTAAATTGTTAATAGATTTAACGATTGATTTCCCTATTTTGTATTTTCTAGCCAAGTATTTCCTGGACTTCTAATCGAAAAACGATGTTTCAGATCGTGCTCGCAAAAACGGTGAGTTAATTATAGCGCTTTACAAATTAACACAAATTTTAAATTCGGACACTTTAGCTTCAATTCATAGTTGAATTTGAAAATATTTCCACGGTGTTCTTATCATTTAATATTTCTCATGGAAACATTGACTAAATATTCCTAATTTTTATTATCTATTTATATGGAAAGCAAATAAAGGTTTTCTAATAACTAACATATTTATTAGAAATTCAAACCTATTCATGACGATTTATTTTTGTTGATTAAAAAATATTTGCGATTTGTTATAATTCCTATAATGCGTTTTTAAATTTGTTTTTATTGAAAATTTCTAATATTACAAAGATTAATATAAACATTTTATTTTGTAGAAATCCATCCAACTTTTTTCATAAAAAATGAACTTCTTCGTGGACCATGAATTATGACCACATACTTATGTCCCTGCCAAGCCTTCGCTCGAGCCTGAGCCGTTTCTCGAGGATCTCGTAACGTGATCGAGTTAACGAGATGAAATTATATGCATGTAGGTGAAATTGTTGTTAATTATGGAACATAATTTCTAAGAAAATTGTACATTACACAAATTCTCCTTTAATCAATTACAGGCATCAGCATTATTCGATTGGACAGGTGGTTCAAAAGTAACACATTAAGTTACAGGATTCAGGATGGACAATGGAATTCAGGAGGAGGCCCAAGTTAAGAAACGCCCAAATTAAAAATACGCTTAAAATAGTGTACAAATTTAAAATCTTTTATAACGACGAATATTTAACCACATATATGTATCAAAATACATAATTATGGTTAATATTTAGATTAATTTACTTGCGTACATGCAATAACTTATTAACAGTATAGCGTCAAGAAATGAAACAGCAAGGGCAATATTTGTATATGTATACGTACATATGTAATAGAGCAGATTTGTGCATAGGTAAAAAATTGCATGCATATGTATTCATCTACATATTTCAAAATTGCGGTGTTAGTGTTTGAATTTTTCTATTATTGCTCATTGCTTAAACTCATTGCTTGATTTTATTTAGTGAAAATATAATTCCATGCGAATATTTACTCATAGAGTTACTAAACATTTAAAATATCATTGTAAATATAAAGTATTTTATTTAAAGAGTCCTCCCATTAGTTTTTTATTAGTCCAATTGGTTAGATAAGCACTTATTTCTAATATTTTGAAGCTTAAGTCAGAAAACTAAATAATTGTTTGGAGTTATTGAACATTTATTTTGATAGGATCGATCTCCAAATAATTATGATGTGCATGGTCGTCTTGTCATGAAAGTTGTACTTTTGTGGTGTCCAGAACTTTAATACAGCAATTTTAACAATTACTCAATTACTTAATTACCTGGTCTCTACCACACTTTCCGGACTGATTTGTATTTACAGAGGTCATGTGCACCATTTTTTTTCTAAAATGGTACAGGCCGACTCTTGTGTCGGCAAAGATATAAGCGATGATAGGGGTAGTCCGGACGCAAATCGACAAGTTGACTACATATTTTCAACATCGTCGTACTAATTCAGAAAAGACCTACAGTCAATGGAACAAGTATAGGCACCACCCACGCAAGCTAAATAAAAATGGTTATAACTTTGGCACGAATTATCAAATTCACACGAAACTTTGTATGCATTTAACCAATCTAATGTAGTGTTCGATTATAATCATATTTTATTGATGAAAATTAGATAAACACAGTTTTTAAATAATTTGTTGGAAAATATACAAAATTAACCCGCAAAAAGTATTGGCACCCTCTAACTCATTGATGACTGAAGGAGCTCCGCTTATATAGATGGCTACTTGCATAAGCAAGTTTCTCGTGGGTACGCGTACCCGCAACTTAAAAAGCATGAGGATTGTTTCCCCATAGAGTTTTGTTTCCCCATAGAGTTTTGTTTCCCCTTCCAGTTAGATATGTATTTCATGCCTCTAACTTATAAAATCATTAGTCAAAGAATTGCCAATTTTATTACGTCCCACTGCTTCTAATATTACGTGGCACCTCCCCTCGACGCAATAAGAGCATAAATACGCCGTGGAATTGATTTGACAAGTTTCTTGATAACGCTTCTCTATATGGCTGCCCACACTTCTTTCGAACTTTTGACAAGCTCGTTTTTCGACGAGCGGTTTCCCATCAGTCCCTCTTTTCTCAACCCGGACAATCAGAATCACATCGGGAGACTGTGCAGCCAACGAAATAAGCTTAACCTTTTCGGTCTCCAAAAATGTGCATCGTTAATTTGGATGCATGTTTGGGGCCACTGCATTTTTGGAATATGAAATTCCTTCCTAGGTCAGGTTTTTGTCAAATCTTTTCAAATTATCGTTTGGAATGATTAATTAGACCTCCTTGGTCATGATTTCGTCGATAATGACCAGGTAACTACGCCGCGATCAAGTCATTTAACCCCAAACCATAATCGATCCTCCTCTGTGCTAAACAGCCATACGAACATATCGGTTTTTCGGATCCTATTATTGCATCTGCCAAACTTGAACCAGTCAGTCCCATCCGAATAATCAAAATATGGTCCTGTCGCACCAATCGACTCGTTTTCATTCGTTAGAAATTTATGTGGGGTGATATTTAGCTGATTACAATTTCCATAGTTTATTCGGTGTGGGGACCCTCGCGTCTGTCGGGCTACTGGACCCTGAAACCCCATGGCATGATTTTTGATTGATCACCAAATTGTATGATATGTTGACCCCACAGTTGGTTTTCAAATTCAACATGGTTTTGAGAGCTGAAATCTCCCGATCTCGAGTGATTTTTTGCTTGATTAATCTGTCGATTTTGGGCTAAGGTGCCTTTTTTCTGCCGGATCATGGGAAACAAGCAATTAGAAATGTCGCTTCATGTTCTTTGGCCACGTATCGAATAATAAATATGGCGGAGCATGTTTTCTGTCTGAGTTTTCGATATCCAAGCTTGTTTGAGAAGGAGGCAAGATTATTTCTCGCTCCGCCAAAAATAGCTCGTTTGGTGTCGCAATTTTGGCTCTAGACAATACCAAGCTGGACTTACGAAGCAGATAAAGTAATATTTTGTGATCTGATTAACTTACCTTGACAAAAGGCAGAGGTTTATCGTTATAAAAATTTCGCTCAAATAATTAATACATAAGGTGCCAATACTTTTTGCAGGTTCCAACCTGACGTGTTCGTGTCAAGATCAAAATAACGTTACGGTTACATAATTTCAGTCGGGAACATGATTATAATCGAACACTACATTAGATTTGCTAAATGTGTACAAAGTTTCATGCTAATTTGATAATGCATTCCAAAGTTATAGGCAATTTTAGGTAGCTTGCGTGGGTGGTGCCTATACTTGTTCCATTGACTGTAAGTGCAGTGGATGCTTTATGCCCGCTCGTATTCCACCCCAGATTCATAAGTTAAATCTTTCAAGGATGCAACACGGTCGTCTTAATCCATTTTTACGACTCTTTGATACAAATTATCATACGAGTTTTAATACAAACTTTTCTGAAGTTGTCGTGAATATTCTTTGCTTTAATCTATTATCTCTTGGCTCAGTTATTCATGTTATGTTTTTAGATTCAATGTTGTAGGGACAGGAATTATCCGAAATAATTCTCTGTGCCGTATGATTCAGCACAACAACCATCCCTGGGAGGCAGCTAATTCTCCTTGTTTCAGGTTTGTGGTCGACATAGTTTGTTGCTTGAATTGGTCGATTGACCGTAGTCCACGTGGCATCTACTTTAGCCACATCTTCTTAAGATATTATACCACTAATCGATAGATGTTATATCACTAATCGTAGCAGATCGCAACAGATATTTCGAATCGATTAACGACTTTGGCCCGGAATAATAGCATATCATCCGAGGTTAACTTCGTCACAAAATCTTACCTGAGTATGTAAACCGACTCTAAGTTGTTCCCAACGTGAGGACCTCAATCATAAAAGTTTGTCTGCTTTTGTAAATTATCCAAAATAACTAGTTGTGATAATCGCTCGGCGTTGTTGGATGTAACTCATTGGTATTTCAAGTTACTTTGGAATACTGGGTCCTAACTTTTGTGCTACTTAAATCATTGCGTTGATAAATCTCATTGGTCTGATTGATCCGTCGAATAAGACCTCTAATCTTATTTTTCGATCAAGACAGCTTCCATGCAAAATTGTAAATTGCATGCCTAGTTTTATATGTCGGCTCTTACTCCAAGCGTGTTCTAACAGGGAGGCTAAAGTTTCCAAATTCGACATGCAAAGCATAACTTCAGAATTCACTCATACATTTGCTGATTTGATTCTATGAATTACATTTGTTTGTCTCTTCGCTCAATATCAACATCGAATGATGTTTTACTGCAATAAACTTTCGTGATTATTTCTAAGGTTCATGACGTTTTTTCGATAGTCTGAGATGGTTTTCTTGCATGCATGCATGTTTTCTGGATATTATCAAAATACTCTATTTTCTCTTTTCTCGTGCTCTTTACAACATCCTATTCTTGATGAATTCCTTGCACACTTATACGATATGGCATGAACGCAGAAATTTTACTTCATAATACTATCACGGTTGTACCTCACTTGCACTAGATTGGATTACTGATTGATCTTCGACAAGTTCGATATCAGTCTAAACATTTTCGGGTTTGTATGCAGTTTTGAATTCACTTTCCTCCTGCATAAGCAATGCAACTTCTGAGGACGAGCAATTTAGTTTTGAGAAGGCCATAACGTCCAGCTACTCGATGTATGACGACATTCGCCTTGGAATATAAAGTAAGCCCAACATTCAATTCGAAATTTAATTTCTTTCTACCAACATATGTAGTCAGGAAATTAATATCTCACTCCAGGGAGATTTTACAAAGTTAGTGTTATAAATTGTTAAATTACTTGAAGTAGATGATCTGGTCATTTCAGTTCTACTGGAACTTTCTTTTTCACGTGAATATCGAGCTCGTAGGGATCGCTCGCTGCGTTATGCGTAGTTTGACGTCGGCTTATGGGTTGCTACTTCCGCTTTTAGTAATTCCATCTCATTAAAATGTGTTCTGGCAAATAACCCAAAGTTACTTAACCGCTTTCTAAGTACATTGATATCCTATATTTATCAATATGCTTTAACTTTGTCATGGTGTTCCGCATTTCGAGCTTTTAGAAATAACGGAAACCACATCAGGGTCGCCACCTTCTGCCTCCAAATTCTTTTAAATAAAACGACGTGTTCCATGTGCCCCTGGTCTATGTTCAGCGAAAATAACTCGCTTGCTTTGACATGTGTATTTAGACTGAATTTCAATAATGGATTCTGCTGTCCGCCTCAGGAGAAATATTTTGTTTCGTGCACTAGTTTCTCTCTCTGCTCAGTGTTGCTTGTGTCCATATCCCAGCTCTGGCAGATCTTTTGGCTATTCATATCTGTCCGGGATTTTTTGCAGCACTACAACTTGTTTTGTATCATAATTTTTAGTCGTGATAGCTCCGAAATTTGCCTCCGAAAACACCTTAAAATTGGTTCGAAGGATTTTATATGCACCCAAAGTTTATGTTGCCCACCGTGTGTCAACAAATTTCAGGGGCTAGACAGCTACTCCCCTGTTTGACTCGGTTTCTAGCACCTCCCTGAATGCCTTCCCGTACCCATGTTTCTGGTGTATATTCAAAAAGATGTTTTCTCGGGATTGGATCTAGTGGCTGCTTTCAGATTTTCGTGTCACAAGTACCCAGTTCCAGTAGGCGATGTAACATCGGCCTCGAGTGACATCTATGATAGTAGGGATTTCGTAGGAACATTATTCCCAGGAAATTGAAAACTAATTTTAAAATTTATTTCAAGCTGCGTTAGCAACTCATTATTGTTATTTACATTGTCCGTGTCAATTAATACTTTGATTTGGCTGCTTAGTTGCGAGATTATTTAATTTGGGATATGAAAATTTTCAGTTTTGAATCTCTTACAGAACTAATAAGTGAACATTAAGTAGTCTAACAGCCTGATTTAATTTTCTGGACTTATTTCTGAGATCCGAAAAGCGATAAATTCACCGAATAAGTTCCCAGATTCCTTATTTGTCATCCACCTGGTTGGTCTAATGGTCTCCCTTGTCAGTAAGGGTCCTGTCTCTTGTTTTGGTCTCTGAACCATGGCGGGTTGCTGCCACGCTGTCAATCTCATCTATGAAGATAATGCTGAGAGGATAATCTCTTGCCTTGGTGAAAATATTCTTCATAAATCCTCACACCGGCCCTACCGGTCTGAGTTTATGTCCGACCCCCGAATGGTGAAGAACTGTGCCCCAGAGAGTGAAGCTGCTTTGCTCTAGTAAATTCTTACGCACGCCTGGAATTCCAAACAGCAATATGTTGGAATTTTATATTGCGACCGGGCACATTGATTTATCTAGATCAATTTTTGTAATAAGTTTTACCTGAATAATGATGCACTGTTTTTATTTTTAGGCTATAACTACCATGTTTAGTAAATGTTATCTACGAAATAGGCCTCATACCTTTATACAAGCCATCGGCTTCGGACACTCCAATACATATAGCAGTTTATACTATGATCAATTTAATTGGGTTATTTTATTTTATCTGGAAGATCATTCAAAATGACTTATTTAACACTGAAAATAATGATATCTTAAATTCTTTAATAGTCTTAGTTTTTCCATGACGTTCAGTATTTTCCATTATAGCATTTTCCAGGACGCCATTAAGGTCCATTCCCTTCATTCTGTTAGTCATACAGAAATCTTTTGCAGGCACCCTGAGTGCACCCTTTCGTACGGAAGTCAATCGAATAATCATTATTGTAAATTGTTTGATTCGTCATTTGGTGCTTGTTTCGTCGTTCTTTCCTGTCTGAAAATAGTTAAGATTCAGCTACTTATCAGCAGTTGTCTTTTGCTCCGGGAATAATTTTCATAGGTTTTACTACGATTCCCATCGCTTTCACTTGTTATTCGTTGGCTTGAATTCTTGAAGCTGCTATTGGTTATATTACATCAAGGTGAGGTCGAACTTAAGGTTATGCCGAGGCAAGATAGGTGTAATAATCCCTCTCCATGTCCCTTTGTTGGGTGACAGTTGATTAGTGCGCATGAAATGTCCTGCGCACACAAACAAAGCAGGTGACTTATCAGCTACTGGCTTACTGGAAAGCAGATAAAACTTCTTTCTGATATACATACTTTGAACATTCTCTGGATGGGCTTTAGTATTTTCATGCAATTTTGATGAAGACATATGAGTTAAATAATGAGGAGCAACAAATTCTTATTTTAGATTATTTTGCAGTCGTTAGTGTCGGTATTTCTCTTCAACTATACTCCCTCGCTTCTCCAGATATTAAAAATATTATCATGTCTCTCTTTCTTCCTTTCTCAATCTCTGGATGCAATAATAATAATATAACATTTAAAGCATCACTCATCCTGATTAACACATACATCCTATTTAATCTAAAGCGCCCTGTATTAAAAGTAGTCATAACAATATTGTTGCATTCATCCCACTATAATAATGGATAGGTTGTCGTCGAGAAAAGAATGTGACACCGCTTCAATTGGAAGATGACGTCAGGTTGGTAGCCGCCGTTCTTACCCCGTGCTCACAATACTTTTCCAGACTACTTAGTTGCCACGTGTGACCAAATCTCGAAAATGCGACACTGTTGAAACTCAAATACCCTTACTGTCCTCAAATAAGTCGTGATCAAAGCTCAACTTCGAAGACTTTTATGCCTATCTTAAGTCCTTTGATCATGTCTTCCAATTCGTGGGAACCGATGTTAATTTGTTGTGAATTGGCTTTCAATGTCTCCTACGCAAGGGTCCCAATTATTTCCTGTGGTTTGATATCTGTTGTGCGAAAAAAGGTTTCACATTGATGGACTTTTGCCCAGTATCCCTTTGCCTCTTGTGAAATTTGGAGATTATTTCATATTTAATTTCATTATTCTTCTGCAAGACCGATACTGCAAGACCGATTGGGTAATACTCCATCATTACTATTGTAACGACACATGTCATAAAACCCATTTTTCACAAGTCTGAGACACAATGAATTATCTTGTATGACTGGTTTTCAAATTTGAGCTTTCAATTTTTCACAATTTCCACATGCTTCTGGGCGTTTTTGTAACATAAAGCTTTGGTCCGTTTCACACACTGGTTGCGGTACAGCTGTTATTAATTTCGTCATCACTCTCGGGAATCATTTCTGGAGAGGAGATGGGCGTAGAAGAGAGCGGGTGAGTCACACGCGTGGTAGAACGTGGGTTTCACAAATAGGCGTCTACTTAGGATTAGTCACGCCAATTGATTACGCGATTATCGTAGCCTCCACGTTCAATGTCCAAGGCGTGTATCATCCCTGTGCAACCTACTGATATCCCCATCTTTCTAAACATGTAGCAAGCATGAAAATGGTAATTTCAAAGTTCACAGTTTTTGATAATGGGTTTATTTCATACGTACTAACTTTTTGACAGCTTGATTTTTATACGTAAATGATTTTGGAAACCGTTGACTTTTGTACTCTGGATTCAAGATACCACACTCATCACTAGTCGCATATGTGTATAAGTTTGGAAATTATCACTATATCTTAAAATCTCGTAAAATTTCGTGCCAAATTAGGCACTGCTTCTTGATAAGCACCTCCAACTCGGCATTTGATGAAATAAGTGCAGAGTATTCATGTACTCTAATTTTACAAAAATTTAATATACCTGTAGAGTTTAATATACATGAATCATAATCGATTTGGACTAGCTTATAAACTCAACTAGTCGAGTTTCTTAATTTGGAATACAATTTCCAGTTTCAGTTTCACAAGGGATACAGTTTCCCCCATATCAGTAACATCATGTTGATCGAGAGGGATGCTTCGTCGGCCTCCAAACCAGGAGTTCAGGATTAACTCTGGGATTCTAAGTGATTGATCCGGTACCCTCTTTGTGATTTTAACGGTGACAAAATAGTCCGTGTCTCGATTTTCAGAGAGATGCGGAAAAAACCTCAAAAAGCTTGGTATATAAGTTTTCCTAGTCAGCCTAATCCAAACTTTATAGTTTCGTTGAGTAAGCGAAGGGTTTAATTAGCTACGAGTTGTTACATAAAGATAAAGTCGCTCTTCAGGATTTTCAGCTACCAGTTTGGTGGAAGAAGTTCTTTTCCGAGTGAAAGTTTTGTTAGTGTAATTATTTTTTAGGCCTGGTGCAGATCTCTATTGAATTGCTGATTGGATCAGTAAATTCAGACACCTAGATCTGCATGCTGTAATTTTTTCTCCAGTAGCCACCACCACATATATAATGTGCTGTAATATGGGTAAAATGTTATGGTAACGTTTGACCCATTGACATTAGCGTATCCATTTCTACGAATAAATTGGGGTAACAATACCGATAATTCATTTTTTCTATTCATCAAAATAGGACGAACATATGCTTCCATTACATCATCAGATAAAATATTTTCATTCTTGACGGAATCAAGATGATCCATTGTGATGTACATGATATCTTTGCTTGCAATGAATAATTACAATAATATATTTCTGAATATTGCGACTTTATACGAAAAGAAGAGATCCTTTCATTCCAATTATTTGTCTTTGGATATGCAATGCTTACGTGTTTTCACAACTTCACTATATCCTTAAGCAGCACTGCAGGTCTCCGTAAGTACAGGTCCAACAGTGGATATGGTTTGATCGTGATTATTCACAGTTATTTCCACGTGATAGACGAAATTATAGAATTGGAATTCGGAGAGTACTGATCCCTCCAGTAACTTTTTTCTAGAATACCGTTATTTCCCGTCCAATACAATCCAGAACTGATGTATCCCATGCCTCACCTTTTGTTGTCTAATTTTGTCCCAAGTTAAGATCGTCGGTTTATGACGGTTAATGTAATGTATGACGATCAACACAGGGAATAAGAAATGATGCAAAGAACAAAGTAGGTTCAATACACGTGCAAACATTTGTAATACACATGCAACCAAGGTAAAACTAAGTTTTGTAAACCCGTTTCTACCCATTTTTCTAGGAAAATACACGTGCAACGGAGAATGTTGAATTTTTGCATTTCTGTCGTTTTAGGCGTGCGTTCTCGCTTCCTTGTTCTACCGAAAGTGTTCCCCTTGGCCTTAAACCTTGTTACGGAGGGTCGGCGGACACCTAGGTGAGTGTACGTTTCGGAAATACTCCGCCGTAAAGCACATTGAGCTTCAACTCTGCCCCTCTGCAATAAGTACGGGAATTTGCCCCTCACTATGTAAAATCGACAGAAAAAAAGAGCTAGTTTACGTCATATATTGACCAGAATATCACCAATATACTCACAATTTAATTTCTTGGACAAGCTGGATCAGATTCTAATTAAGTCCGTCAAAAACAAATAATTTATTGTGGGGTGTCCTTGTTTTACTGGCCACCTGATTTTAACATATTATTAGATAATTTCTCCGCCCCTGCACCAATTTTAACGAAACTTTGCGACAAGACTACTAGGCACCGCAGTAGTAATTGGTGAAAGAAAAGGCTAAATATTTTGAACGGCCTTTGAGAAATTGGAAAAAATGTTAGGTGTCCTGGTATTACTGGTCGGAGTGTAGCTTAATTTAAAAGAATTAACACTATGGTTGTTAATGTACATCAATGCACAAACAAGGAGCTGTTAGTAAATTATAAAACACAAAGGGTGAGGGGGCCAAAGGCTCCAATGACATCGTGCCTATTAGATAAAGGGAGCAGTAGGGTCTAGAAAATCAAAATTTTTGGCGTTACATGTACATAGTTTATTCATTGTAGTATAAATTGTGTTCGCAGAGATGTATACAAATAATTAATTCGAAAAAGCTAAACGACCAGCGCCGTACATAAGTATCCCTATCTGAATATAAAAAAACTGTTGTAATTGTAGTTGTCCTAAAGGTAAAAAATCTCATCCAACTCTCGTCCGGCTGGAAGAGATCCCAAAATAGCAGCCACATTTCCACGCTGCACTCGGACTGCACTGCTTCGGTTTTGGCGTTATATTTATACATATGTACTTTATGAACGTCTCCCTATGATACATACCCGTAAACAACACACATACATAGTTTTAATTTAAACTACGAAATGGAATGCCTACTAGCCTTAGATGTAATATACGTAGGTGTTTTATTATTGATTTTCAAAAGGTATGTTCCGCACTGTTTCTGACCAAAGTTTTGATGAAATAATAAACTTCGAATACATTTAGGAGGCTGTGATTTTTTTCATCCCTGTGGGTTAACATAAACGCTGGCAATAAATCGGCAAACTTTACCTCGGCGGAAAAAATGACAGATTTGCAAATTAAATATCGTAGTGTGATTTAATTTTTAATGCTGGATGGGTAATACGGGTCGTAGATTTATGATCGAATGCTTAAAATTTACGATGAAAACTGCTCAACACAAAACACAAATTCAATTGTGCCAATAATTTTAAATGATGGCGAAAAGAGATCTCGGACAAAAAGTCGCCAGGACGCTCAAAATCCGTTTCTTCCACAGAAAGGCTCCGGAAACTAGAGGGACCAATAATGAGAAATCCGTGATTGAAACTGTCCTATTTAGCAGATGAGATGGGTGTTCCAAAAACAACAATTTGTTCCATATTAACTGAAGACTTCGGTATAAAAATGGTTTCCGTCCTTTGGGTACCAAAATTGCTTTCGGCATCTCACAAACAGGACCGAGTCGACTTTTGCAATGCCAATTTTAGCCTATTAAATAAAGACTTGAATCTACTCAATATTTTATTAGCTGGATATGGTACTTGGGTATACTATTATGACCCGGTAACCAAATAATAACTCATTCAGTGGTAGCACGAGGGGTTGCCACCGCCCGTGAATTGAAAAGTGCAAAAATCTGACAAAAAATTGATGATGACCATTTTCAAGGATACCAAAGGTCTCCTCCTTATAAAATTTATTGCTGGAAATACTACAATAAATGGGGCCGTGTGTGCAGGAACCCCGATGGTGCTGCGTCCTGCGGTTGAAAAGAAACGTGGGGTCAAAATAAAGAGTTGGCCTTTTTTTAGACGACAACGCACCACCAAATACCTGGCTGTTTTAGAGGGCTGCTGCAGACGAAAATCTCTTTACCTGCACAAACCACACCCCGTGCAGTCCAGACTTGACCCTTAGTGATTATTATTCGTATCGAAACTTAAAGAAAGACATCAGGGATAAACGGTGTTCGGATGATAATGAAATCAAGTCGTAAATTTTGGCATATTTTCGAGGTAAATTTTGATGAGTTGTTGCTAGCGTTAATGATAACTTACAGAACTGAAAAAAATCACAGCATCCTAAATGTATTTGAAGTTTGTTATTTCATCAAAAGTTTGACCAGAAACAGTGCGGAACATACATTTTGAAAATCAATAATAAAACACCCACGTATATCGGATTTGCATGTAATTTATGTACATATTTCACAAAATGAAATATATGTATGCCTAACAATTGTAATAACTGTATTTGTGTGAATAAAGCAGACATTAACCTCAATTAAACATTAATTCTTTGCATTTAGGCCTATTTCATACTGGTATTCTAATTGCATATGAATGTATGTATGACTAATAAAGCTATGACATTCATGTTCAAAATTAGATCTAAAATATATGTATCAAGACATTAATTTGTTGATTTGTTAATGATTGTCGGGGTAAAATTGTAACAACTGGTGACAAATACGCAAAACGAAATTTACTCAATAACTTGAATAGCTACGCACAAGGTATGCTACCCCGGGTGTTTGGGTTATGGTTTTCCGGGTTTTTGTGGGTTTTTGGGTAGCAAATTTGACCCATACCCACCAGATAATCGAGGAAAGGACGGATTTCAAGTTTTAAAAATGCATATATTATAATAGCACATTAAGAACAAATTTAAAAATTAATTAGATTAACTAAATTAAGAAACTATTTTGCTACAAAATTGATGAAAAATAATTTGTTTTCATATGGGGTCCTGACTCAGTTTGCTCCCAGAACTCCAACTATTTCGAATACCCGCAGAACGCAGGTAAAACCCAAGGGTAGGGGTAATCAGTAGCAAAACCCCAAGGTTATCCTTACCCTGGCTACACAATTTTCGATTGCGCCAAATTCGAATTAAATTAGTGTTAAGCTACATAATAAATATATACAGGTCATATTATTATACATTTCAGACAGGTGAGAATCGAGTCGTTACTATGTTTGACAAGTATAAACAATAATCACCTTCATACATATATTCAATTTAACCAGCTACACTCTAATAATTCCTTTAACAGACGTGACTCTGCCGGTTCTGGTGATTAGTTAGTTTTCCTGTGTTAGACGTGATATGATTGAGTATTGGTGGTTTATTTGTACACGGTGATCAAGGTGTGACCTACTGGTGACATGATTGAATTTATTACGGTGTACATAGTTTCCATAAAAAGTAAATACTATTTCTAATTTATCTTCTGCCTACGCCTATGATAATAGACTTTGCAATATTGAAATCATTATTTAATGATTTCACCCAGAAAGAAAATCCCATCCAGTACTATTAACCCTGCCCAAATCATAAACACGGTTTGAATATTTTCGCCCAATTTAATTGCATTAATTCCTAACTTAACTCCAGTTTTCTCAAGTAACTTGCGTTTTATTAGATAGGTAGGTAGGTTTATTCAAGATTGATATAGCGCAAGCTCTTACAATCATAATCATTCATTCGTTACATATACAAACTCATTCAAACTACTTACATACATAGTTTCATCTCATAATGTACAATCTAAGAATTAGTAAAGTGTGTGCTCAGTTGTGGGCATGATCCACAAGTAGCACACGGCATCCCAATAAGGCTAATCACACACCATAATAATATTTTAGGCTACAATCTAAGGATAATATGTATATAACAGCAGTAGCAAGGGTGTAGAGGGAAAACCGATAGTTCGGAAAACCTCTACATGTATTGGGAAGGTGGCCCAATACACCATTCGGCCCAAACTGGACACCAGGTAGGAAAATGTATGGCAGAGATACATAGGAGGATTCCGTGGGGTGCTGGTGATATCCAAATGAGGGTGGCGTCTGCATGCGGAAGCAGAAAGTTGAAGGTTGTTGGGCGGGGGGTATCCACGGACCGTGGGATCTGCCCACGTCCCCCATGGAAGCCGTAGCCGGGGCCGATGACCCCCCCACTTACCCCTTCCCCCATCTCAACACAGCCAGGTCATGGGACCCCCGTAGACCAGACTATGCTGCCCTCCGCCATGCACGACCCCCTCCCCCCCTCTTCAAACAAACCACTCCCCACGGTCACCACCCCGATATACCAAAACAAAACCTACTTGGGGAGTCCCTCCAAAGCGTAGATCCTCCTGTGCACTGGTCCGGCGAATCCATCTTCGCCTGATGGCTCAGCTTGTCGTTGCTGGGACGGGTGTGGCAGGGGGTGTTACCAGGCACGCAGGTGGGGGGTGTGAGTGGACGAGGCTCACATGGCGAAAAGGCCTTGGGACACACTTTACTTGCCCTGGCACACCCGCGACCCAGATGGAAGAGGATCCAGATCCAGATGCAGAGCGAGAGAGAGATACGTGGTGCACAAGAGGAAGCTTGGAGAGAACTCAACTTGCGTTTTATTATTGTAGTCTCGTTTAATTGTTGCCGAACTATATTCAGAGCCATGAACTCAATCAATTTTTCATAAATTCCTGATTCAATCAGCCCCACGAATCTGTTAACTACCGGAGAACCCCGCACGGTTTCAAATGCCCATCCAACAAATTTTCCAGGCGGCGAAGTTTGCTTTGAAACTTTGTTAAATGTTAACCAAGGATAATGTTTCGTGTAGAATTGTAAATGTGCTATCGCATCTGTTTTTTCTGCAATAAGAGCAGTTTTACCACATGTCACGATTTCTTCTTCAATTGCTGCTATGATGTCTGTAGGCAGAAGGACGCTTCGAACTGAAAAAAATGTGGAAAAATACTTATGCGCTAAGGTGCAAATGCAACCAAAGTTTTTTACCTCACATAAAAATTAAGCAATTTCTTACCCGGGTAATTGTTGTACCGAATCGGATAAAACCTCTTTTTCGCATCCATCATATAGTATAAGACTTCTGTAACCCAGCCAGGATTGTTACCTAACTTCGGCCAAGAACTCATAACGATATTTTGTAACTCATAATGATGTAGATACTTCGGAATCACAATTCCCCCTACTGGTAAAGAAAGCAAAATGAAGCTGTTTGACAGTGGTTTGTAAAAATTTGGGATTTGAAGATTCAAATGAGTCAAATGAGATTCCAAAAACGAATTGAATCGTTTCTTCAACAGATATCCGTCGGAAGATTGATTCCTTTCGTAAGCTGAAATCTTACGCGAGCCTGAAATTGTGACGAAATCATTTGGAACATTGCTGGATAGTGGGGAATTTAAATTTGTAATTGCTAATCCAATATAGCAGTTGAGAAGAATTGTAGAACAGATGGCCCACACGCCCATAGTCAATCGGAACGGGTTCAATTTTGAGAGCCTGTCAGGAACTGATGAGTATTGAGCGAGGATGGACCCGATGTAGAAAAAGTACGGGTTAAACCTTAATTCAATAATATTTTAAGCATTTTTCAAATTGTCCAGCATAATAATAATTAAAATTCGCCTTTCTGAATATATTTACCTTCTATTGCGAAGAACAGCCCGGGCGTAAACATCAGTTGGAACATAAATCAAAACAAATCCTACAAAGATCCCGACCCAAACCTGGTTTTGAAAAGGCTCCAAGTATAACCAAAAGCTTACCCGCTCTTCGGAAAAGCAGGTAATAAAATTATACCTGGATACTCCTGTCACAATAGTTGTAGGATTTGCCAAACTTTCTCCGATATGACGAGTATGGGTTTTGCAAAACCTGGATAAATAACGCTTTTCTTAAGACGCTTACTACATAAATGCATACATCATAAATCCAAGAAGCATTGGCAAAGTTACCCATTTATAACGTTGATATGCATGAGCATTAACCAAACTTAATACATATGTAGGCACTCGACAAATCTAATGTGGTATTCGATTTTAACAATACTTTTGATTTAAATTTACGTAATTCATCTGCAACTTTCATTGTCATTGAAAGAAGTTTGGAAGGAGCCACCAAAATTTTTTGGCACCATATACTAATCTAAACGAGAAAACAGGCTTCCTGTTTACCTG